AAACGCCTAGATCTTAGATATTTCACTTGACTGAACTTAGTGTCTCTTCTTTTTTTTTTTTAGCCATTTATCAATTTATTATCCTGAAATGTCACAATAATTTAAAACTTCTTAAAAGGAGGCGATCTTTGATAGAAAGGTCTACTACTTTGGTATGTGGATATTATACAGAATCTCATTGCTCTTAAATTTATGACCTTGCTTTCTGATATAAACTCAATATGCAGAAGGCTGAATTGGTATTTAATTACTCTCTTGACTTTTAATCAAAGCATCTTTTTATTTCGCCTTTCCTTCAGTGCTGTAAAGCATGAAATATACTTCAATGGATCAGGACCGAATGAACAGGACTATAACAGCCTTCACTGGTTACCCAGCTCCATTGAAGACAAACAGGAAGATGCAAGGAAAACTCATACCCGAAGGACTCGGGTTGGCCCAGCGAAAGGACTAGGGCTAGACCAGCAAATTTCCCAAGAGGAAAATATGCGAAATAACAAAATGGCTGTCTCTCTAGAAGCCACCTTTCTAAAAGATACATTTGAATTTGTTGAGATGATTTAATAAAAGGTAGCTGGCCAGCAAAAGTAGACTCAATGCTTTTTTGGAGTTGCACCAGTCCTATAATTTCTGTATCTTGTTAGGTGACAGGCTAGAGCTATTGACATTCAGATTTCAAAGAGATGAAATGACCTTGCTTATAAGTTCTTCCTTCCTGAATGAATAATGTCAGTAGTGTAATTCTGGATAAATAGAAGTCTGATACCAGTTGACAAGCAAGGCAATTTTATTTATGTTTCTGGTTATATGGGTCACATAGTAGGACAGAGTCAGTAAGTCTCTCAAAATAGAGTAGGTTTGATTCACAAATAAGAGGATACAGTGAGAAGAAACCAGGCTTATTGAATAGGTACCACACATGAGGCAACGTCTTAGGCTCAAGGAGAACAAATAATGAATAAGATTTAGCTCCAGCCCTAAGACATGTATTTATAGTCTAATGGAGGAGACTGGCAGAAAAGCTGATGATTTCTATATAATAGGGTTTCTTTTTTTTTTTTTTTTTTTTGAGACAGAGTTTCACTTTTGTTGCCCAGGCTAGAGTACAATGGTGCAATCTTGGCTCACTGCAACCTCAGCCTCCTGGGTTCAAGCGATTCTCATGCCTCAGCCTCCTGAGTAGCTGGGATTACAGGCATGCGCTGCCATGCCCAGGTAATTTTGTATTTTTAGTAGAGGCAGGCTTTCACCATGTTGATCAGGCTGGTCTCGAACTCCTGACCTTAGGTAACCTGCCCACCACTTCCTCCCAAAGTGCTGGGATTACAGATGTAAGCCACCGCACTCCACATATGGTAGGGTTTCTTAAGCCCTGCGTGACTGAGATTGTAGACTGAACGATTGTTGTGGAGGCTGTCCCGAGCTCTGTAAGATGTTTGCATCATCACTGGCCTGTACTCACTAGACACTGGTGGTACCACCTCCACAGTTGATGAAACATATCTCCAATATTGTCAAACACTCCATGAGGGGCAAAATTGGCCTAGTTGAGATCTGGGGCTGTAGTGTTGTGACAAAGATAAGTCCAGGATGCTCTGGGAAGTAAGGAAGGATGCCCAGATGGCCCTGAAGGAAGGTGGGTGGTCAAGGAAGGCTTCCTGGAGGAGGGGGCACTGTTGTTATGTGGAAACATGAAGGGTGTGAGTCATGTGTAGCAAAGGATCAGCATGAGCAAAGGAGTGCATTATGAAATACCAAGGGGCGTGTAGGGGAGCCAGTTGGGGTTATTAAGTACAAGTATTAGAGGTAAATGCTGGGGCATGAGGCTGTGACGCAGACATGTGTGTAACTATAGCTTGCATGGACTGTCTGTGAGCACAGGTATGTCGGCGGAGGGCCCACATGCAGTGGGTTGATGGGAACAGTCTTCTAGAACATTCTGGCCACAATGGGAAGGATGGAGTACTGTGGCTGGTAGCATGGCAACAGGATCCTTTTGTGCTGAGCGACTTGCTTTACCTGTGTCATTCCGTTTAATCCTCACAACAGGCCTGTGTGAAGGAGGCACGGTTATCCCCATTCACAGAGGAGGACGTAGCAGGGCCGAGCAGCTTCCCTGAGAAGGTGCTGAGGTCTCCTCTTAAAGATGAAAGAGCCTTGGCTTATCTGACAAAGCTTTTGTTCAGTGAGCTGCTGTGATGGAGGTCAAATCAGGGATCCTGTGGTCAGCCAGCACAGGATGTAGGCAGAGTCCTCTGGAGGGACTTATAAGCAAGCAGATATCCAAATAGAGCAGCAGAGAAGCAATTAAAAACAAGCGGGATATTCAATGCCCTCTGCATTATTCTTTTCTCACACGAAACTTCCATCAGGGCCCAAATGTTTGTTCATTTCAGTAAACATTTACTGAGTGCCTACTGTGTCCTCGGGATGATTCCAGGGCTCTGAAGGAGACAAGGGGTTTGAAATAGAATTGGGCTGGCAGCAAATGTGAGCTGAATGAAAAGAGTGAGAGATAGTCAACAGACTGAGGACAAATGATTTCTGAAGAGGATCTTGACTTTCGGAGAGACGTTATTTCGATTCCAATCTCTCTAAGAGCTTGCCTCTAGAACTTGCGTCTTACACTCTGGAGAAGCATGTTTGCCCCTGGGAATAGCTGATTGAGGTGTAGTGTGGTGAAGAGGAAGTCATAGGCGAGGAAAGGGACCAGACTTGCCCTGCTGGTGAAGGTACTCAGCCCTTGAGCACTCAGGTGGCTGTGGAATTGACATCTTCCTTGGGATCTTCAGGTAGCCTTGCTGTGTATGAAGCCGTGCTCTATGTGTTTTCTGTACATAGTCATGTAATTCCCACAGAAACCTTATATGATGGGTAGTAATATTATCTCCACGTTATGTATGAGGAAACAACACAGACAAACTAAGTAGCTTGCCCACGGTCACCCAGCCTTTGACTAAAATTTCCAGGATTGAAACCCAAGATGGTCAGGCAAACAGAGCTTATGACATTAGCCACTAGATTATGCTGCCTCTCTCTGCAATGACTGTGTGCCAGAAGGTTGTGGCATGCTCCAATTGGAAAAATAATCAGCCACCTTATTAAGAAAAACTGTGCAGAGGAAGACAGGTTTCTGTGTAGTAGAAAGAGAACCAGAGTCAGAATCAGAAGACCTGAGTGTTGATTCTGATGCTGGTAGTAATTGACTTTGCAACTTACAGAGTCATTTAACTTCAGTGAGGCTCAACTTCCACATAGTTAACATGAGGTTAATAATCAATCTCCCAAGTATTATTTGCGTCAGATAGAATGCATGAAAGTGTCTCAAACAGTTCCTAGCACTAATATTGAGGATGAATGGGAGATAAATGAGAGATGGGCTTCAGAGTTAATAGGTTTGATTGGACTTAAAATGTAGGCCGGGCGCAGTGGCTCATGCCTGTAATCCCAGAACTTTGGGAAGCCAAGGCAGGTGGATCATGAGGTCAAGATATCGAGACCATCCTGGCCAACGTGGCGAACCCCCGTCTCTACTAAAAAAAAAAAAATTAGCTGGGAATGGTGGCACATGCCTGTAGTCCCAGCTACTTGGGAGGCTGAGGCGGGAGCGTTGCTTGAACCGGGAGGCAAGGGTTACAGTAAGCCAAGCTCGTGCCACTGCACTTCAGCCTGGCACCTGGTGACACAACAATACTCTGTCTCAAAAAAAAAGTGTAAAGTTCATAAAGAAGGAAAAAATAAAAATCAAACACATGAAAAATGTTCTCTGAATGACTCCAGGGGCATGTGTGTGTGTATGTGTATAATGGCTACCATTTTTAGAATAACTATCATTGATTTGAGTTCTTACCCTGTCCTAGTACTATACTATGGGCCATATGTCATCAATAGCTATGATTTAGGGATTTTTAAAAAATGTGCATTAGGTTTTACCATTGCATGCATTTCACAGGTGCTTAACCATGGACCATTCCGAGCTACAGTGGTTTAAAATAGCCTCTCTAAGGTTGCAAAACCTAGCAACAGGCTGTATTTGATGCAAAGATGCGGCGGCTCAGAGCACATCGCTTGTGTTTGCTTCCCCTCCTGATGCTCCTCCCCATGTCTCCCTCATTCTTGGTTACCCATGACTGTGCTCCTTAATAAAATATCAGCCCCATAAGCTTTTGCCTCAGCTCTGCTTTAGAGGAAATGTAGGCTAAGGCAGATTTTGGAAAAAAAAATGTTTTTTTTTTGTAAAGGAAGACAGAAGCCAGTATACATAGAAAAAAAGATCTAGCTTTATATATGCCAAATGTTAACTGGGTTGTCTCTTCATATACTCTGCTGTATTTTCTATTTTAATTAATTAATTCATTAATTTTTGGGGATAGTGTCTCGCTCTGTTGCCTGGGCTGGAGTGCAGTGGTGCGATCATGGTTCACTGCAGCCTCGCCCTCCAGGGCTCAAATGTTCCTCCCACCTCAGCCTCCCGAGTAGCTGGGACTACAGGCATGTGCCAGTGTGCCCAGCTAATTTGTATATTTCTTGTAGAAATGGGGTTTCACCATGTTGCCCGGGCTGGTCTTGAACTCCTGCCTGCTTCAGCTTCCCAAAGTGATTACAGGCATGAGCCACTGCAACTGGCCTATTTAAAAGTTTTTGAACAGTAAAAAGTTTAATAAACTATTTAGAAGTACACATTTCTTTCTTCTGAGATTAACAGATATGATGCACAGGCATAAACTGAAAAGTCATAGAATAAAATGTATTGTTTTCCATAGACACTCCATTAGTGTGAATTCAGAAGTAGCTTCAGATATTTTCATAACTTACTATTTTACATGCTCATTATCTCAGTTTTACATTACCTAGGTTTAAAGAAAGAATCCATATTGATTTTGATATGTTGGAACAATCAATTGGAATATACAGCAATGCAGTAAACACGTCAGGCATATTAAATGCATTTCAGTTATTCTACTGGCTCCTTAGGTTTTAAAGATAATCACATTACTTACAGTGCCCTGGAATTTCAAAACCTTGTCCAGCGATGTTCTGGGAGTTATTTCCACTGCATTCCATCAGAGAGCCCTGAAAAGTCTCTTCTGGTAAAGGTTAAACATGTGGTCTATACAGTATAGAGAACCTGAAAGCCAACAACATTTCTTTGTTACTGTTTATCCCCAGGACAAACATTAAAGTTACAAAAATGAAGGCTGTCTTGGATTTTGCATACTTTCACCAGAAAGGGGGTTAATGTAGCTTTCAGTTTCTCACAAGTGGCATCATCTGTGGTGAGAATCAGACTGGAAGAGCAGGAAGGGGCTCTCGGCCATCATCCCCTCCAAAAGGCCCATTTCACAGAGGAGAAAACTGAGACCAGAGACAAGGAATGTCCTCTCAGAGAACTGTGTACTGACTGGATAACTGAGAGTCCCTGAGTGGGCAGCATTTACATTTCAAAAAATTAGAAGAAACCAAATCAGCTAGTGACACAGCTCATCTGTTTGATATATGAGAAACTCTGGAGATGACCTGAACTGTTTTTGGAGGAGCTAAACCCCTCACTCTGAAGTTTTCCGGAGTGATACTTTAACTTTTGCTTTTCCTGATTCTGCTGGCCTAGAGTAAGCAGGGTTAGTATCTAGCTGTGTAGTTCGTTCATTCTTTCTTTTCTTTCTCTCTCTTTCTTTTTTTCTTTCTCTCTCTCTTTCTCTTTCTTTCTTTCTTTCTTTCTTTCTTTCTTTCTTCTTTCTTTCTTTCTTTTTCTTTCTTTCTTCTTTCTTTCTTTCTTTTCTTTTCTTTTCTTTCTTTCTCTTTCTTTCTTTCTTTCTTTCTTTCTCTTTCTTTTGTTTTTGAGATGGAGTCTTGCTCTGTTGTCCAGGCTGGAGTGCAGTGATACCATCTCGGCTCACTGCAACCTTCACCTCCTGCGTTCAAGTGATTCTCCTGCTTCAGCGTCCTGAGTAGCTGGGGTTACAGGCATGTGCCAACACGCCCAGCTAATTTTTTGTATTTTTAGTAGAGATGGGATTTCACCGTGTTAGCCAGGATGGTCTCAATCTCCTGACTTCATGATCTTCCCACCTCAGCTTCCCAAAGTCTTAGGATTACAAGTGTGAGTCACCTCCCCCGGCCCTGTGTAATTTATTTCTATGCATGCAGTAATGGAGTCATTTTTTGATCTGGGCTCCCTCAGTCCTACACCCTGGCACTTGAAAGCAAGGGGCCATGTCCTAGCCAGAGTTGATTTGCTTCTTTACAGAGGTAAGACCAGCGTCTTCCTCTGGTTCCCAGCCACAAGAGGTGTGTGCGGACCAACTGGGATTGAATCCTGAGATCAAATCCTGGTTCTACCATTGACTAGTTACTTGATCTCGGGTAAGTGAGTTGATTTTTGCATAAGTAACTTTACCTTTGTCTATCTCCTTTTCCTCATTTGTAACATGGAGATAATTTTAATACCCATTCTGCATATAAAGTGAGGGGTACAGTGACTTTCACATAAGTAAACATCTGATGAATATTGGCTATTGATAAGTGCTCAAAAATATTTATTAGACAAAATGTATTAAGGGGGAAGAGAGAGTTGCCACAAGCAGAAAGTTGTTGATATTTTTCATAAACCATCCCAGGTCCTCCAATTCCCCACATTTCAAGCACTCTAGCATAATTTCTCAGGCTCATGGAAGGAAAGAGGAAGCATAGCTAGCTTTTTTTTTTTTTGACAGCAGAACGATATGAAATTTACATATATAAGTCATGGTCTGCTCCAAAAACTTAGGGTCTAAATTTAACCACGTTGCTCCCCTGCCACCCACCACACTGATAATTAGAACCCTCAGGTGCCTCTTGAAAAGCATGTGCAAAGTCTCCACCTTTGTCCAGAATCCCTGGAGCTGACTCAGTCAAAGGGGTCGTATCTCTCTCAAATGCCGTGTGTCGAGGGAAGTGGTCTCTCCTTGGTTTTACCTCCGCTGCTCCTTCTGCCCAGATCCTGTGCCCTGAGTGTGGATGGACTTCCAGGCTCCCCAGGCAGCACCCAGTTAGGACCTAGTGACAGTTGTTGGGTTGGTGACAACAGCCGTGTGAGGTCAGTATCCCAGAGGCAGCAGGGTCTCCAGGACACATAGCTGCACAAACTCCAACCTTTCAGGCCAAACCAGCCCTTGCCACAGACCACAAGTCTTTTGCTTAGAACCTAGGGCAGCACCTTGATATCTCTTGTCCTCTTAATCGCTACTTTTTTTTTGAGACAAAGTCTCGCTCTGTCACTGGGATGGAGTACAGTGGCGCGATCTCAGCTCATTGCAACCTCTGACTCCCTGGTTCAAGCAATTCTCCTGCGTTAGTCTCCCGAGCAGCTGGGATTACAGTCATGTGCCACCACGCCCAGCAGGGTTCTACCATGTTAGCCAGTGTGGTGTCGATCTCCTGAACTTGTGATCCACCCTCCTTGGCCTCCCAAAGTGCTGGGATTACAGGCATGAGCCACTGTGCCCAGCCAATCCCTGCTTATTTTTCGGATTTTTCACCTATGCAGATGTATGTCTGCCTCCTTTCCAACCATAATAGATTGAGTGGCTTAAACAACAGAAATTTATTTTTCTCACAATTCTGGAGACTGGAAGTCTGAGATCAAGGTATTGGTTTCTTCTGAGGCCTCTCTCCTTGGCTTGCAGGTAGCTGCCTTCTCCCTGTGTCTTCACTTGTCCCGATCGCCAAATGCAGCTGCCTTCTGAGATACTGGGAGTTATTATTTCAGCATATGAAATTCGAGGGTGGGGTGAGAGGACAAAGTTCAGCCTGTAACACCAACAGTTAACTCTGCAAACTTAAGGTCTAAGTTAACTTTTTTTAATTCAAGGAAAAGACAGGGTGGACAAGAAAGAGAGAGAAAACGGTGCGTAGCAAGGGGGGCCTCATTGTATCCGTCCAGGACAATGGGTGGTTGGTGCTTACCATACTTAGGTGGCTACTCACGTGGCTGTTCAGACGTTTAAAGTGCACCCTACTAAATGCAGAAAAGGTCTCTGTAAGACAGATGAGCCCAGAGTTTCTCTGGCTGAATTGGGAGTGAAGGGTTGAGATTCTCCCACAACTCCCTTCTCACTACATCACCTCTGACAAGCACAGAATTAAACAGCTTTGACTTGGAAGATTTGAGGTATCCGGGCTGCTTTTGGTACCTTTTCACAAACACACAGTTCATCAAGGTTTGGAAAGGGCACCTAGGATATCATCTGATGATCTTTAGCTTTAAAGACATAACTGTCGCTAGCACAGAGCCCAGTTTCACTGTAAAGTTGCCTGGCTGAGCTCCCGCAATCCTGCCGACAGCTGGTGCTGGTGTGGCCTGCTCTGTTTTTCCACTTTACTTCTTTTTAGAGAAGGGCTTGTTAATCACCCTGCTCAACTGTGACACCCAAGAAAAGCCGAGAGAGTAAAGTTATATGCAGCCTTCCTGTGACCTGTTTGCACGTACCCGGTCAATAAAACTCAGGCAGAGTGACAGTGACAGCTGCCTTGTAGCATTCAGAGGGAATCGAGCAGTTTAGCAGCGTCCTGGACAAGTATATCATTACAGCTCAGGCTGCTCAGAGAGAAAACACCTAAACCCTGCGGGAGGAGCACAGCTCCTGCAGCCACCCAGGGACCTGTCTCGGACACCTGCAAGGCCTGATCAAGACTCCTGTGGCAGCTTTCTCCATGCTGGGACCTCCCCGACACAAGTTGGTTCTCACCCCGACACACGATCTCTGCCTGCAACAGCCTGGCTTTTAGCAGCTGAGAGGACACAGTCCACGCCTGGGAGGTGGCAGAGGAGGGTGACTAGAAGGGAAGGTACGATGGGGGCCAGGCAGTCAAGAGCCAGCTCCAAGGATAAGGGCCCCAAGCGGGTGCTGTTCATGGGAAGGAGACAGAAGTTTTCTCCATGGGACGATGCCCTGCTCTCGGGGAGGGACCCACGGTCTCTGCTGAAGCGTGGCATGCACCATGTCAGTTTCAGCCTGGTCACCAGAGGAATGACAGACATCCCTGACTTTCTCTGGGGCTTGTCTGAGGTCCAGAAACTCAATCTGTCTCACAACCAGCTCCGAGTTCTCCCTCCCGAGGTGGGGAAACTGACCCGGATCGTGGTCCTGAACCTGTGCGGGAACCGCCTGAAGAGCCTGCCCAGAGAGGTGAGCCTCCTGCAGAGCCTCAAGGTCCTGTTTGTCAACATGAACTGCCTGACCGAGGTGCCGGCCGAGCTGAGCTTGTGCCGAAACCTGGAGGTCCTGAGCCTGTCGCACAACTGCCTGTCCCAGCTCCCTGCAGGCTTCGCTGACCTCTCCAGACTGAGGAAGCTGAACCTCAGCAACAACTCCTTTGCGCACATCCCCATGTGTGTGTTCTCACTGAAGGAGCTGATCTTCTTGCACGTGGGCTCCAATCGCCTGGAAAACATCGCTGAGAGCATCCAGCATCTGGCCAGTCTGCAGATCTTCATTGCCGAGGGCAACAATATCCACTCTTTCCCGAGGTCGCTCTGCCTGGTCACCAGCCTGGAGCTGCTGAACCTCAACAGCAACGACATCCAGACCCTCCCGAGCGAACTCCACCTGCTGTGTAGACTGGTGAGGATCGCCTGGAATCCCATGGACAAAGGGCTCCATATTTCCCACAACCCTTTATCCAAGCCTCTGCCAGAGCTGGTGGAGGGGGGCCTGGAGATGCTCTTCAGCTACCTAAAGGACAAAAAACACACCTGACGTGGGTCCTGGAGGCCTGGATGGGAGGCAGCTTACCTGAACTCTGCCAGCTGGGGTAGCTCTCTTATCTCAATTTCTACTGTCACCGTGTCTGCCAGTGCTTTTAATTTTGCTAAATCATTGTTGAACATCCACGTTAAGGAGGTGTTTACTTTTAGCTCTGTATGTTCTTAATAACTTCTGGAATATCATGTTCATCTCATCCTAAACATAAATTGAAACAGGGGGTTGGTTTTCTCTAAAGAGAACTAATAGTTCTGATTCTTCTGAGGAGCAGTGAGATTCAGCCCTTGGGAGAGTGGACACCTAACAGGTCTGAATTCAGTGTAACTCAAAAGGCAAATATTTGCTAAGTACTGTGTGCCAAGGACAGTGTCAGGTGTTGAAACCTGGTTTCAGATGGTTTCTACCATTGAATCAGCAACCTGTGGCCGGGTGGCAGTGGCAAGACATGTTCCTCTGTCAGCCCCTATGAAGTATAACCTGGGACCAAAAGGCAAACCACAGTGGGCTCTGTCCCCAGTGACCAAAACAGGCAGAGCTCTCCCCTTGAGTTCTGGGGGGGACCATCATAGGAAGTTTTTCTTTCATGCGGCTGTAGAGGAATCATCAAGCCTCTCATGCTTATGTCTGGTGGTGAGTAACGGGTAGCATGATGGCTTTCAGATAATAAATGTGAACTGATATTAATGTGTATTCCTCCCTCCCTCCCTCCCTCCCTTCCTTCCTTCCTTTTCTTTCTTTTTCTTTCTTTCTTTCTTTCTTTCTTTTTGAGACAGAGTCTCACTCGGTTGCCCAGGCTGGAGTGCAGTGGTACAATCTCAGCTCACTGCAACCTCCACCTCCTCGGTTCAAGTGATTCTTCTGCCTCAGCCTCCCGAGTAGCTGGGACTACAGGTACCTACCACCACACCCAGCTAATTTCTGTATTTTTAATAGAGATGGGGTTTCACTATATTGGCCAAGCTGGTCTCGAACTCCTGACCTTGTGATCCGCCCACCTAGGCCTCCCAAAGTGCTGGGATTACAGGCGTGAGTCACTGCGCCTGGCCTTAATGTGTATTTCAACTGTCCTTCCCAGTCCTCTCCCACTCATTGTCACGTCCTTGAACTTTTTTGCTAGACACTAGGCTATTAACAGATGATCCCATTCTAATTTCACTTATCCATGACTACATTTGCCCTCTCGAAGATAAGCTACTAAATGGGATAATTTGGCCAACAATGACCAAAAGACAGGAAAGAAGGGAAAGATAGTGCAGTGGCTCACGTTTGTAATCCCAGTACTTTGGGAGGCCGAGGTGGTGGATCACAAGGTCAGGAGTTCAAGACCAGCCTGACCAACATGGTGAAACCCTATCTCTACTAAAAATGCAAAAAAATTAGCTGGGCATGGTGGCACGCACCTGTAATCCCAGTTACTTGGGAGGCTGAGGTAGGGGAATTACTTGAACCAGGGAGGTGCAGGTTGCAGTGAGCCAAGATCACGCCACTGCACTACGGCCTGGGTGACAGAATGAGACTCTGTTTCAAAAAAAAAAAAAAAAAAGGGAAAGACATAGACAAGTCATGCAAAAAAGTAATTACCCTTTTACAATTTGGAGGAGGGTAATATTGACTTTCCCATGTTGACGTTAAACAAAAATGAGTTTAGCGACATTTAAAAGCTCCTTGGAAAAAAGGCTCTGTAAAAACATGAAGCTTGTTTTTTATTTCAAGAGTACACAGCTGTTGGTGAAACACAGACACCAGGGCAAGCAGTGACAGCGTTCCTGCACCAAAGGTCACTGGACCTGACTGCTACAGCAGCAGCCAAGGGCCACACGACATTCATATTGATTCTTTAGAGCTAAAGAATCAGAATGGAAAGATGACACTCAAGAAAACCAAGTACCTTCAGGTCAATGAAAAGCCAATTGCTCTGATTTCTTGGCACATTTGTCTATGAAATTATAGCAGACTACAAGAAGACTTAGCATTTGGGGTTGCTGCCAAGACTTGTAAAACTTCTCGGTATTCTTAGTTTAATTCAATCAAATGTATATTTATTAGCACCTTTTCCAGTCTGGACACTGGGTGGGAAACCTGAGAAAAATAGTACCTACCCCTCCTACCACGGAGCTCGCAGGCTGGAGAAGGAGACAGACCCACGTGAGTTCCTACAATTGCGGCAAGATGTGATTCCTCCTCAAGAAAGATACAAACAATGGACGGAGGGAAGAATAGCACACTGTAGGGCGTAGGCTAGACTGAGCTCCAAAGTCTCAGTAACCAGAGAACAGTAAGCAAAGAACACAGCTGGGTTAAATCAGTCAAACACTTCATTCCCTGCAGCCGCCAAACCCTAATTCCTCCCCCTCTTCACTCGCCTGATTTGGAAAGAGCAGCAACGTGTTGAGGCAGTGGCTAGCTCATTCTCAGATCAGGCAATTTTACTGTGAAAAATACTTGCTTTTTCTAAAAGCTGATCAAAGAGGGTCCGTATAGCTTATTCAAAGACCAAGTGATTTTTCCCAAGAGACCCCAAAGTGCATTTTCTCACCCATAAAAGAAAGAAGCCAATTTTTGCTGTTATCACAGATACCATAGTTCCATTAGCACATTTGTGCATGAGGTTATCTGTTGAGCCATTGCACGAAGACCTTACCAGTGTCACTTAGAGGCAGCTAAGGAAGTCTCCTCCAAATTCCCCCTCCAGCAGCAACTGCAGACCTGCCTATCCCTGCCAGGCGCACACTGGCACACTCCAAAATCCTCCCCTACGTTAGCTTGTTGCAGCCAAGACTATTTAAAGACATCAGTGGAATTCTCACTTGACCTCCTGACTCAGTGGGGAATGGCAGGGTCAGGCTTCCTCCGCGGAACCTGGTAGGTCACTTACTGCAGCTTTGGCCGAAGCACATGCAGCTGTCAGACAAACATCAGCGAGTGCCAGGATCATGCCCATGAGTGTCTGCTGCTGAGGAACCACTTGGGCTCACGCTGAATTTCCATGACCTTGCTGTGGGCAGAGACGCAGGCGAGGACAGCAGCACTGCACTCGTCCTGCTGAGCAATCATTTTATTTCCTCTTCGAGCCTTTTCAGTCACTTGATCCCACAGTAACTCTACTCCAGGGAAAGAATGTGACCATATTTTGAAGGTGACCCAAGAGCTCATTATACTTTTTATAAGAAAAAAATGATATCAATTTGGTTGTCAGCTTCCATTGGTGTCTTTCAAAAGTATAGTAGCAAGGTTTTCTTTGTTAACACAGCATTGAGGAAATCATAAAAGTCTAGTAGTTGCCTGACGTGCTTTAGATATTGATTCTTTGTGAATACCCCCTTTTATTGATAAAGGGAAGTGGTGAGCACAAAACTGGTTAACGTGCTTAGTTATTCAAAACGCGAACGTGGAAGGAATTTGATATAACCTTCGATGTCTTTGCTGTCAAATCCTATAGTTTGCAAACTGGTTGTGAAATGCTTCTTCCTTATCTTTTGTATTTTGAATACTGCCACATTCAAGTAACTCTAGGTATTTCTAAAGCTTCTGAAATCAAAGCACTGAGGGTGACTGGACTGGCTGTGGAGTATATTTAGCCAAAGAATATGAGCTAATTGGGTGCTTGATGTGGGGAGCTGGCTGCCCCCATTCTTGATGATGTTGTGGTTTTCATGTCACCTGGCTCTCTGTATGGAGGGACCTCAGTGTGTGCTCAGAAGCACCTTTCGAAGCAGTTGTAGCTTACGAGCATACAATTAAGAAGAAATCCTATGTTTGTAGAAAAGGAAGAAGACAGTGAAAAGACACATCTGTTCAAGGAATAATATTGCTAAATGCATAATACTGCAGGCACATTAGAAAGAAAAATGTAGTCATTACTTAGCTTGTTGACTTAATAAATGGTTAATAGAGAAATGTACTCCATTCTTGGGCTTTAGTTAACAGACTGCCTTTCTGGAGTAAGCAAAGATAGAGCGACTTCAGGACTGCACCTGGATTTCACAATAAAGTCATGCTTGTGCTGGAAAGACATAAAACAGGGAATGCTGTCACTCTTTGTATGGATGCATTAAACTAAACCTTTTTCTTTTGGCAATGAATATTGCATTTTGATGGTGCATTTCATATGGCTCAAAGCATGTACTGAATATGCGTTTTGATAGCCATTCATTAAAAACAGAGGAAGATTAAAGGGATGTGGGCTCCGCTACTGGAACACACATTCAGGTATCAACACCTAAGATTATCGGGGAGACGAAGGCCCAGAGGCTGGACTGGGGTATATTTCCCATATGCTGGGGGGAGTCCCCTGTCTAGGTGGCATCACTAAGATTCTGGTACAAATGGTGAAAAAGAGAAGATGAGTTCAGGAAATGCTCTAAAAAAATTAAAGCTGCTAAATTAAGGCACTCAGAAGATACTAAATACCAAATTAGGGCATCATTATCTGCTACTTAAGTATCCAAATGCTCTTGATTTTCTTATTCCACAAAAGAATTATTTTCAGTACTCTATAAGATATACTTGAGAAACACAAAATACCCAGTTAATGTGCAATGAAGTAACAGTACCCTTGATGTAATGTCTTAGTTGTAAATAATCCAAGAATCCCAAAATACAACTCCTTCCTATATTTCAATCAAGAAAACAAAATAAAATTAAGAGGAACATGAAAGCTATTGTAAACAATTATGGGAACAATCCTGACCTTGCTGAGAAGAGAACTTTCTGCAAGTGTTTAAGTTTCCTGTCTAGTTACATGTTGAATCCAAAGCATTACTGATTTTTTAAAAAAAGAATAGCACAGTAATAAAAAGAGGATGCAGGGACGGCTCATAATGAATTTGTAAGAGCTTGGGCATAATTAGGTAAGCATAACCGAAAGCCATTAGCATGAAGCTTGCTATGCAGATTTTTTTAGTAGTGCCATAGGAATCTACTTGCAAGGAGAGAGCTGATTTCCTATATTCTTTTAGACTCACTCCTTATTTCAGCACAGGACAGAAAACAAAAGGCAAACTGGAGTCCTATCAGGGTATTTCTTGAAACTTTTTTTTTAAAATATAGTTTTTAGATGGAGTCTCGCTCTGTCACCCAGGCTGGAGTGCAGTGGTGCGGTCTTGGCTCACCACAACCTCTGCCTCCCATGTTCAAGCGAGTCTCCTGCCCCAGCCTCCCCAGTAGCTGGGATTACAGGTGTCCACTACCAAACCCAGGTAATTTTTGTATTTTTAGTAGAGACAGGGTTTTGCCATGTTGACCAGGCTGGTCTTGAACTCCTGACCTCTGGTGATCCGCCTGCCTTGGCCTCCTAAAGTGCTGGGATTACAGGTATGAGCATCCGTGCCCAGCGAAACACTTAAGAGAAACGTAACGATACAGGCTTTGAGGGTGTGAGGTGCAGCTGCTGATAGGACATCACTTACCCATGTTCTTTGTCTTGAGTGACTTGGGTTCCTCATACGTCAGTGTGCCCAGACATGGCACTGTGGGGAAGCCTCTGATATCTTCCCATCTCCTAAATGTCATGCCCATCACCCTATGTATGCCCGTGGCTCTGTGGGTGGTGGGAAAGCTCTGGGCTGTCAGCAGGAATGTAGATAGCATGGTTCTTACTGCGCATGTGTGTCCTGAGCCTGTGCAGGTGACATCAGGACAGGATGATGGAACAGGCGGCAAAGGAGTGAGGCTCAGCTAAACACAATGCAATCCTGTGACAGCATTGCCTGAAGAGATGTGTAGACAAGAGCAAAGGCATGTGGGTGAAATTATGGGATGGCGAGGTATGGCATGACTGCCGTATGTGGGGAATGCACAGTCCAGCACGACAGCCACCGGCATGATCGTTCCTTTGTTTTGCTTTGTCTTGAAGGGAAATTTGTGAATCCCACTGTCTCAGAGCAGGCTGCTTTGTAACACCTTTGTGGCATTTGCTCTTTTCATTTTTATTTTTTCTCTACCAGAATCTAAGATGATAGGCAGGCACACGGAAGGAGTCATGATACCTGGAGACGCCGCGTGTCCTGGGTTTGAAAAGCGCTCCCAAGCCCCTCCTCTACTACATTGTAAGCCAGGATCCTTCCCGAGGTTTCAGAAAGAACCCTGGGCTGGAAGTGCTTCTCTGTGTCAGCTGTTCATCAGAATACCTCCTGTTATTTCAAAAAAAAAAAAGCCCTGGGTCTCCATTTGAGAGACTTTAATATAGTTGGTCTGGGGTAGACCTGAGCTTCTTACTTTGCTTAAAGCAGGAAATTCAATGGTTCACTCTGGGTTATGAAATGCTGATGCCAGCTCTTACCTAAACAGTCAGACATAAGACCATAAAGCCAATGGGGCTATGAGCCTGGCCATTAAAAGAGGCCAGTGAAAGGGGCTCCGCGGCCCAAATCAGCAGACAGGAGCCCTGCTGGTGCCTGGTGATTAGACTCATCTGTGCATTTGTGAAAAATGTAGAGCCGGCCGGGTGCGGTGGCTCAATGCCTGTAATCCCAGCACTTTGGGAGACTGAGGCGGGTGGATCACGAGGTCAAGAGATCGAGACCATCCTGGCCAACACGCTGAAACCCCGTCTGTAGTAAAAATACAAAAAAAATTAGCCGGGCGTGGTGGCACGCACCTGAGTTCCCAGCTACCCCAGAGGCTGAGGCGGAAGAATCGCTTGAACCTGGGAGGTGGAGGTTGCAGTGAGCTGAGATTGCGCCACTGCACTCCAGCCTGGAGATAGAGCAAGACTCCGTCTCAAAAAAAGGTGTAGAGCCAGCCGGGCATGGTGGCTCATGCCTGTAATCCCAGCACTTTGGGAGGCCAAGGCAGACGGATCAGGAGGAGGTCAGGAGTTCGAGACCAGCCTGACTAACATGGCGAAACCCCATTTCTACTAAAAAAAAAAAAAAAAAATTAGCCGCGTGTGGTGGTGCGTGCCTGTAATCCCAGCTACTCAGAAGGCTGACACAGGAGAATCGCTTGAACCAGGGAGGTGGAGGCTGCAGTGAGCTGAGATCGTGCCACTGCACTCCAGCCTGGGCGACAGAGCAAGACTCCGAGACTCCATCTAAAAAAAAAACAAAAAAACAAAAACGAATAGAGCCCCAGCTCCCTTTGGTGTGCTTTCAGATTCAGTGGGGCCAGGGTATAGCCGGCGTGTGTGCGCCTAACAAGCACTCTAGGTGTCTCCTATCCTAACACAAAATAGAAGAAAACCTGGTCTGGCAGAATGTGTGCCCACTGGAAGATGAAAGCTGTGGTCTCCAGATTCAGCTGCTCCCAGCGTGCTGCTGATTTTCTCGGAGACTCTACGTCTCGACATCTGTTATCTTTGCACCCAGCATAGGGGAGATAAGAATAAAGCATCAAATGGACAAACGAGAGAGTGAATGAGCATCCAAGACCACCTCACCTCTCTGGGCCTCGGTTTTCTATAAGTTAGGCAATTGCACTCACTTCAAAGTAAACTTACTTTATGCTCCTTTCAGCTTTGAAATTCTATGACTGCATTTTTTTTTTTTTTTTTTTTTGTTTCTTTTTGATTTAATGCCTTGGTAAATAGATACTGGGCTTATAATTACTGTGATTACTCAAGAAAAGCAAAAAACACTGTGGAGAATGGTCGAGATCAGTACTAACGCTTTGATATCTCCTTCCAGCACACCAGAAAAGGTAATTTTAATTTCAGTTGATGTTCAAAAATATAAAAAGAGCGAGCAGTATTGTGGGTGAATCTAGGGGTTTATATACCTCAGAAACGCCTGGATGCCATCTC